GCTCGGGGGACGGGCCAGCGGTGCCAGGGGACGGGCTGGAGACCGGCGGTGCGGTGCCGGGGAGCCTGGGGGCCGGGCCGGGGACCGCAGTGCTGGGCGCGCCGGGGGTGGTCGGCCAGGGGCCGGGCCCGGGGCCGGCACCCCAGGGCCGGGGCCAGCCTGGGCCGCGCCTCCTGCCCCCACACTCCCCCTTACCTGCTTCAGGCTTCCCGCGACTCAAATGTTCGCGGGAAGCAGGGGAGGGGGCGGAGACTTTGGGGAGGGGGCGGAGTTGGGGCGGGGCCTCCGTTGGGAGGCACAAAATATGGTAACCCTACCCTCCCCCCTCCTCCCACGTCCCAATATTTGACTTGGGTGATCTGGTCACCCTAAATGCACAATCTGAGTATTCATCTTTAGTCTTAAATGCTTGGATCTTCAGACATATAGTTTTTAAAATAAATCCTTCAAAAGATCACCCTTATCTAAAATACACATGCGAGCCCGGGCTGCCGTCGGGCATAAGGGCACCAGTTCAATAATATTGCATAGGGCCCCATAAATCCTAAATCCCCAACACACAATCATTTTTAAACACAATTAAACTCCTCTGATTAAGAGTATTATGACCTCTTCATTCAGGTCCCAATTTAGCAAAGCACATAGGCACATGTTTAACTTTGTGCACATGAGTAAGTACTTGCCGTCAAGCATGTGAGTAGTATGATTGACATCAATGAATGTCTACAGCTAAGTACTTAAGTCCTTTGCTCAATGGGGCCTTGATCATTAATTTTGGCTAATGGCTGTAATGTTTACCTCCACAAAAGATTTCAATGTGTCTGTGGCACTCCTGTACTCTACCATGCAAGAAATTAAATGATTGAGAATCAAACTGCTAGGATCTAGAACTGGACAGGAAATGGTTTGCTCATCCCATTAACTTTGTTGAGATTTCAGAAATTTTCCTGTTGGGTACTGGGAGGAAACCAAGACCTTTTGAAGTTTTTCAAAGAAGAGAGAGTGCACCATCCTGGAATATGTTGATTCAGACCAGGGACTTGAGCGTGGATCTTCCACATCCCAGATGTATGCCCTACCCACCAGACTATTTGGTTTTCTGAGGTGGGTCTTTCTCAATCTCTCCTATTGGAGCTGTCCCACTTTGTATAAATAATTAAATATTTATTGGAACAGGAACTTGAATCCGAATTTATTACATCCCAGGTGAGTGCTCTAAACCCTGGGCTATAGTCAGTCTCTCTCCCTTTCTCTCTCTGGCCCAATGAATATTTATTTATACAAAGTGGAATAGCTGTAACAGGAGAGATTGAGAGACCCAGTTAGAATAGCCAATAGATTAGGATTAGGGACTTGAATCTGGGTCTCCCACATCCTAAGTGAGTGCCTGAACCATTTTGGTCTCTTTCCCCACCCCCTCCAACCTTCCTAGTTTTGACTAGAAAGTTTGCCCTGGACCTGCGAAACCATTTCCTGATGAAAATTTTGTCGAAATTGGTACATTCCCACAAAAAGTTTTGGTTTCGAGACATCTGTATTTTCTGACAAAAACCTGGTTAGTTAAAAATTTTCTGATCAGCTTCACTAGGAACTCTAGTGTGATCATTTTGTTTGTGTGTGAGAGAAATTCAAAAACACAAATTAAAATTGGCAGTGTAAGACCATATGATATTTCCATAATATATTGGCACCACTTTGAACAGCCCAGTAAAGTAAATTGTGTATAAAGATGCCATGTTATTAAATGTGGTTATTGTGATCTAGTTTTTGAGCCACTTCCTGTCCAGTTAAGCCCCTCTGTAAGCAGATGCAAGTCTGCTGCCTTTAATGGAATAGTTCTATTTACACTAAAACAGAATATAGCCCACTGAATACAAGCAATAGAGACCTGCAAAAGACAAAACTTATTCTTGGTTTTTACATAATTCTGTATAGATATTTTGCCATCTTCAACTTATTGACTATTAATCTTGGGCTATGTGGAATCCTGTAATTGATTTTAAATCTTGTTCATCTTTTAAACTATTACATACTGTGAATTAGTGTATTATATATCTTACAATACTGAAATATCTGAAACAATCTAAGAATTTTTAAAATAGTGAATTGTAGTTTAATTTCATGCTTCATATTTTTGTATAAAGATGCCAAAATCAGAGCTAATAGAATCTTATAGAAAAATGCTCACCCAGTCAACTCGCAGCAGTAGTGCAGAAAGCAAAGTTCCTCACACACGAATAGATGATGGAGCTGCTATTCAGGTATGTAGCCACTTTTATCATTAATAATATCCTGCCGAACCTTAGGTTTAACTGTTCTGCATCAGCAGATAGAGACATTTAGCTTTGTTTGTATAACATTTAATCATTTCTGGGAATTTGAGCTTCCCTTTTTCCCCCCAAAAGAACAATTTGATCTTTCAGCACCTTATTCCTAAAATAAATTGCAGCTGTTTTTCATCCAAAGGAACCTGAGTCGTGATTTTCTATCTTAAGGCTCATGTTCACTATATTTAGCTAACAAGGAGACAGACTCCTCTATTCAGGAGTCCAGATCCTTTCCCTGCTACCACTGTACAGCTATAAGACCTTTTGAAAAAGGCAATACCAAAAAGTCATTCTCCTCCTGTTTAAGTGAAAGGATAACACTTTTTTTAACAAGTACCAAAAAAAAAAGAGGTATTCCTGCTATTTTTGAATCCCATTCTTCTTGCTCATTTATCTCAGACCTAAAAGAAGAAAACACCTAGTGAGAGATAGAAACACCTATCATCTAACTTCAAAATGCTTGGTTAATGAAAATTTGTTTTCTCCATGAATTTTGCTTCAAAGGTGCAGAAACGAGTGCTCTAAAATGACCTGCTGTGTGTGGTCAGAAGTGCAGCACTTCATTTGCAGTCCATCCTGTGTCACAATATATTAATTTGTTAGATCAATGAATTTACTCTTAATTGAGAAAACATCCCTGCCCCCCACCCCTCTACAAAAAGGAACAGACCCAAATAAACAGTTCATTGATTGGGGCTATATGCCCGTGCAGAAAAGTTAACCAAAAGATCCATCTGTAGGTGTGTTGAGAAGTCTGTAAAGGGTTCACAACAGACATTTGTTGTTCCCTCTTGTATTTGTTTTTGTTACTTTTTGGAAATATGTTGAAATTAACATAACAGGACCTTAGTACATTAGAAATATCTTGTCTTAGAAATTGTATCTTCGGAATAGAAATAAAACTGGAGCACAAACCCAGTAGTTTCCTTTGTTGGTCAGCTATAAAGTACTAAGCTTTTGTTTAAAAGAAAAAAAATGTTTAAGATCTCATCATTAAGAACTTGATCCAATCACCATTGAAGTTAATTTGAAAGGCTTCCAGCAATTGCAATAGGCATTTAATCAGAGCCTATCATATTATTTACATATAAGTTTACAAATCACAGATATACAGGAAACTTAAATTTGCCTCTTGTTAGGTACTGTAAGTATAGAAGAATTGTGATTTCTATGTATTTTGTTTCACAGCATATTTGAATGCTGCTGTTCTAAGGCTAAACTAGCATTGAACATGCTAGGAGTCTTCCCTGTGTTAGGTCTGCATAATGTTTGTTTTAACCTACATTATCTATTATTCTTTTGTAACTGTGTCCAGCACTCTAATTTGTGGGATAATAAATAGACGATGAAACAAAATTCTTTATTGATTTGCCCACAAAATTTTCAGATGGAGAATTCATACTGAGATCTACATAACTCATCACAGTCTACCCTCTTATATCAACTTGCATTGACAATTGGAACAGGTGTTCTCTTAAAAATGAATCTTGGTGTACATGGGCAGGGTTCATCATCTCCTGTTAAAGAGATCTTTTAAACATTCCAATTCAGATACTTTTAACAATGACAACTATATTTTGCCACCAAAGTTTTTAAAACAAAATCTCTTTTTCTGGTTTCTGTTTCCTTAGCAAATCTATTATTTCGGAAGAAAATTAGGACAAGGCAGCTTTGGGGTGGTAATTGAAGTAAAACACAAGGAAACCGGCAAAAAATGGGCAATCAAAAAAGTGAATAGGGAAAAGGTAAATATTATGTAGATCTCTGATTTATTTTAAACCTGTCTTACTTTTCCTTTGATTTTCTATCCAATCTGTTTCTGCAGTATCTTTGTGCCTCTTCTCAGTATCTTTCTGTATCCAAAACTCACATTGCAATCAGTGCATGTATCACTGTTTAGTTGATATTCTCACTTCCTTGTAGCAGAAAGTGAGTCACATCAAGTTTTAAATATTAAAAATGTAATATAAAAATGCAATTTGGGGTTCTTACTCCTACATAAAGTCATAATTGAAGAAAAAGTTTTCCGGATCAGACCCTTAATTATCCAAATCTATTTAGAGAACATTGGATGTTAAGTGAATACCATTAAAGTTTATTTCTTTTTTGCTAAATACTTTTTAAAAATCCTAAATAAAACAAAATATTAGCTTAACTGATTTTATTGATGATTTACATGAACATAGTCTGAGAGTTTACATGCCAAATTTCAGCCAGCAACCAACTTTTTTTTATGGCTGAATGACAGACCTTGAAAAGGTGAAATACTGTTAAAACTTTAATATTAGCAGCCCCTGTTATTTTGGTGTGTGACAGGCTACTAGCTGATCCAGATTTAGAGGTATTGTTGTATTACTGCTCATAGTTTTACCATTATCAAATTGCTAAACTGACAATGATTAATTCTCCTTAATTAAGTTACTGCAAACAACTTACAAAAATATGGTTCTTATAATCACATCTTATCATATGACAAGAATAGTAAGCTTGGGTCTGATCATATTTGGATGGGAGACCTCCAAGATGAGTAGGTTGTACTCTTCCATCCACGTCGGTACTAAGCCAAAGCCCAGTGTGGTGTTAAGAGGTGCTTTTCTTTCTGTTACTTTCTAATGAACAAGACAAAAATCATTTATGTTCATTTGAGATCCCCTTGCAAATGTTCACAGGATTAGAGATTTTAGCTCCTGTGAGCTGGCCAGCTTCCAACTTGAGTAATTACGTTTTGTTTATCTGCATTCCCCTGATATTCTTCTTCATTTTCTGTCTTGAATGTTTGTGTAGCGTTGCTGTGTGTGTTAAACAGTAGTCATGTTCTTTCCACGTTAGGTGAAGTAATTCCTTTTTGTGTCTCTCACACATATATGTGTTCTCACATTTTTTCCATCTTAGGGAAAGTAATTACTATTTTCTCTCTCACATGTATGCACGTCTGTAAATGTGAACATAGTTTTATGAAGTGCTTCAGAAAGGTTTCTGATGGAAAGACTGTATATAAATGTAAGACATTATTAGTTGAAAAAGCTAAAATATAATGGTAGCAACCCCAAAGTACAATAGGATTTATTTTGTAACTCTTTTTCTAAATGTAAGACATGTTCATTTGTTTAACACATTCTGTAGACTTCTTTAACAGAAATTGCCATTGTGGAATATATATGGTCATATCATGAATATTGTCATGCTCTGTAAAATACATTTTCCATCTAAAATTAAGGCTGGAAGCTCTGCTGTGAAGCTACTTGAACGGGAGGTGAGCATCTTAAAAAGAGTGAACCATGAGCATATAATACATTTAGAAGAGGTGTTTGAGACCCCTAAGGTAAGGGTTCATTAATTGCAATACTCTGAATGCTATTAATACTTAATGAAAGGTTTCAGAGAGCAATAGAAGCTTTCTTTTCTGCATTCTGAGGTAATTCCTTTTGCCTTCTTGTACACTCCCCTCTCTTATAGGACATTTCTCCTCACCACTGGTGACTAGAAAATTGTGGAGAAATGTGCATTTTAATTTTTCCTAATTTTTTTTCTAGGCTGTTCTAGGCAGTAAATATAAATCCTTCTGCCAGCAGTTCAAAAGATAATCAAAGTCCATGTGTTGTCATTTCCTGTTTAAAGGAATTAGCTTGCTGGCCCTACTTACTTATGTGCCTGTCTCTAACGGGAGCAGATAACTCTTCTGTTTGGCTAGCATAGATTTGGCCTTGGTTTTTACATTTTTTTCCTTTTGTAAATTCACAACCCAATTCTTTCTTTTCTTTCAGGATTAGCTAGTTTATAGTCTGGTACTGTCATAGTGAAGTTTATTTTTTGTCTCGTCATGTTTGTTGTAGCACTATGTGAGGGGGCAGTCCACTGGTTGCAGTGTGGCAGAAAACACCCAGCCGGAAGCTAGCTTTCCGTTTTGATTTGTCCCATTTTCTGAGAAATAGCTGGAAGACCAGAGCTTGATGGAAGGTCTGATGGAAGCTTTTTTGAGAGTGAATTAGTGTCATTTTTTTAGTCACTTACTTCACAGTTTGTGAAAGGGAGTTGGTTGTTGCTGTGTTGGACAGCACAAAGCTCAAGGACGCTGTAATGATGCCTATGTATGATGTCCATTATACTGGCACAGATCACTTTTGATGAGCTGTAAGAATATATTTTATCTTTTATTTAATTAGTCAAGGTTGCTCATGTGATATGTATTTACAGCTTTATTCGTAGTCAATAAAGAAGATCATGTTGTGTCTTTAGGTTTAGTGATGCTTCTATAGGATTCTCTTTTTTTTAAAGTTGACAATATGCTGAATGAACTCTTAGAACAGTCTTTAAAATCCATATTGTATTTTATTTTTGTTGTACATGTTCTTGAAAATTTGAGAGTTTGTTTTAGTACTCAAAATATTCAATCTTACATATAAAAGAAAATCACTATTTTGGTTCTTTATTAATGTTAGCGGATGTTCCTTGTAATGGAGCTGTGCGAGGATGGAGAACTTAAAGAAATTCTTCACAGGAAAGGATGCTTTACAGAGAACGAGACAAGGCACATAATTCAAAGCCTTGCATCAGCAATAGCGTATCTTCACAAAAAAGGCAAGGATGTTCATTTCTTGCATTTATTAATTGGCTCTGAATGTCAGTTTTTTGTTTAAGAGTAACAGTGATCTCTGTTTATATATATTATTTATTTCCTAGAGTGCTGGTGTCCCTGTGGCTTAGGAGTGAAGCATCCTACATTAGCGCTTCCCCTCACTATTTAAACTGTTAACATTTCCTTTTGCTTCTTTGTTCCGGCACTGTCCATCTGACAATAACATGAATTTCTTCTTCTTAAGTCTCAACCACTTTGCATTACAGCATTAACTTATTTCAGCAGCCAAGTAAATAGTCTATTACAGCAGAGAAAAAGAAGCAGGCGTGGAGTGCTCTAGATACTCCTTAATTGTCTGTCCTGCACTTGGTGAGATGCAGTCAATATCAGCATTTTAATTCACCCCAGAGAGGCATTAAAATCCTGCACAGTCCATGACAGAGTTAACCAATTCAGCCAGAAAACTAGAGTTCAGTGTATCCAGTTATTTTCCCTATATTGTAGGAGTATGAAGATTTGTATTGGAATAACACAAAAAAAATTATTCATCTCTATATTTTGGAATTAGTTGGAGGAATTAGCAGTTCCTCTTTTTCTCCCACCCAGACATATGATTCCTTGTCTGTGGAATGGCCCCTTCTTTGGTCTTCTCTCTATTTTTGGTTTCAGAGTGGTAGCTGTGTTAGTCTCTATCAGCAAAAAGAACGAGGAGTATTTGTGGCACCTTAGAGACTAATACATTTATTTGGGCATAAGATTTCATGGGCTAAAGCCCAAAGTGCCCAAATAAATTCGTTAGTCTCTAAGGTGCCACAAGTACTCCTCATTCTTTTTTCTCTATTTTTGGTGGGCAGAGAAAGGGGAATAAAGAAATCTACAGTCCCATCCCCTTTGGTCTGTTGGATATGAGACGAGACTAGATTTATGAAAATATATGCACATTTTGTAAATCTATAATCCACTACTCTTTTCTATAAGATGTTCACAGGTCTGCTACTGTATAACACAGAGCTATGCAAACTGTTTTTCTTATTACAGATCATCAGGAAGATGGATCCAAATTTGATCCAGATTTGGAATCTTCATATAAGACTCCTTGGATCAAAGGGCAAATACTCCTTCCTTTTAAGTTTTCAGTAATGGAAAGCTAAATGCATTGAAACTGAAACTCATTTGAATGAGTAATTTCCACAAGATAAAAACATTTGTCAGAATATTTTGACTACAAGTGATAAATACATTTTTATTTATTGTTCTCTTCCTTGACAGATATTGTTCATAGAGATCTAAAACTGGAAAACATTTTAGTTAAAAGCAGTGAAACTGATGAAGAAAACGAAATGAAATTAAATATAAAGGTAAGACTAGAAATTGTAGCAACTCTTTGCTTTGAGCAATGGTTTAGATACCCAGGTATAAAGTCAGCCCCCCAGTAGCTTTTGAATAGAGCCACTATATTGTGTTTTAAGAACACTAAGAAACCTGCCCAGCCTAATGCAGATATTATTAAAATGAATCATTTTGGAAGCTAAGTGCCACTGCTGAAAGATACTTTGGGGGGGGGGGGGCAGATATCGGTGGTATACTTTTAGGTCAGTTGAAACAAACCTTAAAGAAAGCATACTTATTAATCTAGATTTACCTTGGGATAGTTCCAAACTCTTAGTAACAGTAAGTTAGCAGGAATTCTAAGCTATAATTTTTAAATTATGTGTATTGCCTATTTAATGTAAATGTGTTAGTAATTTAGAAAAAGCACATTGAGACTAAGCCATTGATTTAAATATAAATTATATACCATTTACTAACTAAACACAATTAATGTACCATGTACTTACATCTATAGATTTTAATTGTAATAATTGGTCCTTGAAGGCTAATAAATCATATGTTATATCATATACTAGTTGTTCCCCATTTTAATAGCAGCTGCTGTGTGTTATTACAACCTCGTAGAATTGAAGTGTTGGATTGCTGATCTGCTCCAGTAGATAGTTGTATGTATCCATACATACTGCTTATCCATATAAACATAAACACAATATAGAACATACTGATTTATCTATATCATATCTCATACATTGTGTAATACCGATGCTTTTATAAAACGCTCTGGAAAATTCCATGGTACAAAATCCAGCCTACATGTACCTTGGTGTCCACTTTGCATAACTTATTTTCATTCTGAGAAACATAAAATTCTGGATCTTGATTTCTCCCCCTGTGTGGGACATGTGGGCTGCACCTCTGTTCCTGCAAATAACAGAGGCACTTCAGACTTGTCATGAGTCAGAACACCCATTCTGTTATTACGCCCAATTCTCTGTCTCCAGCAGTGCAAATAGAGCAGTGATTCAGCCCTCCTGGATTATCCAGTCATAGTCTTGCTTTTATACCTCAGTTTAGAATTGCAGCAAGCAAGATCTTTCTTCTCCTCCTCCTCTCTCTCTCTCACTCCCCTGTCCAGAGCAGTAAGGTTTTTCTAGGTTCCATTCTTTAATGGGACTATCTATAGTTTACCTTGTCCTCCTCATGGTAGAATAGGCCTGATGGAACAATCTGAAGACCAACAGAGAAAGTGAGAGATTGAGCTGTGGAGATCCTTTCATAGTTAGTGGCAGTTGAAGTGGTTGCAGGGTAGGGGAGTGACCTGGGGAGAACAGCTCCCCTGTTTTGCAGGAATTATGTATATGCAAGTACATGGCTTATAGAAAACCTTGCTCCTCAATTTCCCTTTGTCCTCTCAATCACTATCTTCCTCTCCCTTTTCCTTCTCTCTTTCTCATCCCCTTCAAAATCAATTACTGCCATTGCTGCCTCTTCCCTCCGTTCAGGCTACCCAATACAAAAGTAATTAATTGCCCCTCCAACAAAATCAGTTACAGCTGCTGTCAACCTCTATCATCTTTTTGTGCGACCCTCATGCTGTTGCTCCTGTTCCTGCTGCTCTCCTGAGATTTTTACATGCTTCCTTCAGCCCACTGCCTGAAGTGGGAGAATTGCTGTGATCTGTACTCTGCCTCTACCCATCACTGGGCTTTCAAGACTTGGGATATGGATGCTGGGATCTTCACTTCCCTCTCTCGAGCTCTGAGGAATGGTGTCTGCCTGAACCTTCACTATTCCTTTGACACTAGACGGAGCAGTAACAGATACGGAAGGAGTGTGGAGGCCTACTGCAGCAGCCAGGAGACAGATGCTTCTTGGTGAAGGAAGAGGTTCTGCTCAGTGTATGGCATATGCCTGCACAAGGCAAAGTCCCCCACACCCCTGGATTTAGAGGGAGTCCTGAGTATAAGGGTAAAAATTCCCTTCAATTCCTGTCCACCACAAAGTACTTCCCAGGGTAAAACTTGGGCCAGGGACACCAGGAGAAAGGCCAGACCCAGGAACAGGGCCAATCCCTCCTTCCATTCCAAACTGCAGCTGGACTTGCATCCATCCAGAAATAGCACTAGAGGGCAGGATATTCCTTCTCCTGGCAACTTCAGACATAGGAACATTGGGGATAGGGCAGTATGCTGTGAAGATATGGGCTCTTACACACCTTGGAGAAAAAAGGAAAAACATCAAATCATTCTGAAGGCATTTAATAGCTTTTAGGACTAGGGACAGATGAATCTGTCCCTCAAGACACAAGGTGCACAGGAGTCTACGCCATATAGTAAGAAAAAGATCAGGAAGAGTTTGGTCTGTCTAAATTCTCAAAAGGCTGAACAAGTTGATGGAAAAAGTTGAAATTCAGGATGGAGAATTTAACTTCCAGGATTGCAGCAGACTCTTGAAGGGTTCTTCTGATATTGATGGAACTGGCAGGCACTTGACTCCATATTACCATCAGGCCTTCTCATTGGCAGTCACCAATACCAATACAAAACATTACCTTTCATTCTGTCTGCATCCCTTAGAGTGTCTATGAAAGAACTGACAGTGATACTATCCACTGAGGAGTCTAGGAACATATCTATTGATGGCATACTTGACAGAATGTCGGCACCAGGCACCTCACGAGAAGGAACTACTTAGTGTCTCTCCATGCTACGGACAAACAAGTTTGTAATATGAAGAATTCTCTAATCCCCCTCTTGGAAGATTGCCAATCTGGGGGTTGAGAGAAACACAAGGAGAGCCAGTCTTCCTTATGCGATTCAGCAACATTCAAGCACTAATGTTTAAGGTGATTCAGAGCCAAGAGTTACCAAGGCATCTTCTACAGTCTTGCATGGAGATTCCTATATGAATATGAATTAACAAGAGGGCTTCAGAGATTAATTTTAGAGGCCTAGAATCTTTGTCTACAAGAGATGCAAAGGAAAGGAAAGATACCATCCAGAGTGATGCAGTCCCTCAGTTGGTGGGCTTATCCACATGAAGCCCATCTAATGTAAGATCCTTCCTTCACAATCCAAATACTAGCCTGTTCATCCTTTAGAAAACACTTTGAGCTTCACTTTTAATTCTCCACAGTCTCATTCTTGGGCAGAAAGTTGCTCCAGGTGGTGATCCTGTAGTAGATAAATACTGCTAATTTTAGGGAAGAAGGAACCTTCTTTCTATCCTACATATCTTCTTCTCCCTGTAATTTTCCCTACTCTTCTCTGTATCCCAAATGTCTCCCTTTAGGAGAGGTGAGGATCCAGAATGGAAAACAATTTACCAGATGATTTCCTTTCTGATACTGACCTATCCCACTGGGTTATTTTTGTGATGGCCTCTCCTTGGGTCCCTGTGTATAACTATCACAGTTGTATAAGGGTGTTACTGTCAGGCGTTTTACATCTATTAACTAGTTGAAATTAAACATTTCAGTACACCTTGGAAGTGCTTGTTTTCACAGATCCTAGCAAATGCCACCCACTGCTGTGAGGGGAGTCCAAGCTTTTATGCTCTGGATTCCCAGGGGTGTTTTATAGTTTTGGAGCCTGAATGGAGTTCAGCCACTGCCCCGATCTAGGGGTCCTTACGCATGCTCTCAGGGTGCAGACCTTGTATCTGGCATCCTTCCTTTGGAGTGTTGGAACCCATTCTCCACCTGCCTAGCCTCTCTGGGCAGAGCACTGACCGTTCAGGCTACCCAATACTTAAACTTGCCCCTCGCTTAGAACTCCATCCAACAGGTGCGAAGCTTCTGGTTTACAGTTTAACTCTCAGGGTCGCACCATAGTTGTCATACCACACACACACACACACTCTGTTCAGTCTGTCAACTTTATGCTCTTTATATTTAGTCATGGTAAGCACAGGAGAGTACAGATCACACAAAACAATAAAACACTATAAACACAATGTCCCTCACTAGCTTATCCTTCCCTTGGGGATCATCTGTGTTCTGGCAGACAGGGTCTTTCACCCCATTGCCTACCCTGGCCTTGCAACAGCCTCTCTTATCTTACTCAGGTGCAAGATGACTCTCTCCCACTTCCCTTTCTTTACGAGTCCCTTTATAGACAACTTCTGGGGTTACCTGCTTCTTTTGTTCTGCCTTCTGTTTTTTCCACTGCTCTCAAAGCCCCCTTCCTTCAGACAAATGGAGGAAGTGTCTTCTCCCAGGTACAATAAAGCCATTAGCCCAAGATGTTTTACTTTGAATAGATGATAGTTGAGTGCTGATCACTCCCCATTGTCTTTGGCCTGGGAGAGACATGACGCAGCCTGCTAATTCCTGATGGATCCACATCCATGTAGGCTTTCCATGACACAGTAATTTCATGATATAATTTCATAAAATTATCAACAATTCAGAAGTGGTACAGACAGATCCTCAAATCATCACACTTATCTCAGGGATAAAGGATATGGCCAGTTCCCAAAGTCCACTGGACAAGTCTGAACTGCCCCCACTATTTCCAGGAAAAGATGCACAGTCCACATCTCTCTGACTGGGAGAGAGGTCACTCACAGAAAAGAAATCAAGTAACAAATTTTCTATTTGCAATTTTACTGTATTAGATGGATGCCCACAAGGGTGCTAGAGATGATATACGAAAAACAGAAATTGCTGCACTTTTTATAACATTTGTTTTTTAAAAAAAGCTGTAGTGTGCCTTCTTTGCTGTACTGTCGCATCCTGATGTGCAGAGGTGACAAGAGCCTCGCATAGCCCAGCACACCTTCTCTGGGGTATGCAGCATGGCCCCAGTACTCAAAGGCAACCTTCCCTGTTCTCAGGGATGTCACGTTATGGCTGTGCTGTGACAGAAGGGACTTCTTGCACCCTCTCCCCACAGCAAACAATTGCAGAGGGTTTGTCCCCCATTTATGTCATTTGTATAGCTTGGAAATATTGTGTGTAAGGAGGCAAAGGGACAGAATACCATGTTACCCTTTCAATATTTAATGTGAAGTTGTGGAAATGATTCCCAGTATTAAACACTCGGAATGAAAAAGAGCAAACAGATAAGTTTAAAGAAATAAAAGGAAATGCTTTTTTAAATTAAAATGTTGCTCACTGCAAACATCTCATGAGATAAACCTCTCATTACCATGAGAGTCCAAAGCGGTTAGCAGATATAAATGTAACCTCAGGTGTACTTCAGAACCACAAAATATAATGCAGCTACTCCCTAAAATAAACAATAGTGAAGAGTCTCTGTGTTAGTTCACTTTATATTAGAGACTTTCTAAAGTGTGGTTAATAGCTTCTCTTTTTTTAACCTACTCACGCTCACCAGTTTCATATAGAATAAACCTCTAATTTGATTTTTAAACAATAACTAACTAAATAAATAAAAAGGTGTTTGGGGGTTTTCCAGACCAATTTTCCCAGCTTCTGTCTTCATTCCTTGGTTCAACGGAGATGCTGGGATCCTACTCTGAGGTCTGGATCAGACCAACAGAACATTGCTCACAGAACTGCCTGTAATAATTGTTATTTTTCTACCCCCTGCCATTTTTTGTTAAAGAGCCAGCTTGTGAGGTTAAGGGAGCCACCAATGACTTAATAAGCAAGCACAAACACATTGAGTACAGTGCAGAATGCGTTAAGCAAAGCAGAGTGCAGTGGACCCAAGCTGCTGACTAGCCAAGCAACTGTTTCTGAGGAGCTGCAGAAGAGTCTTCACCCTCTTTTCTCTGGTTCAAGCAGCTGAAGTGTGCTTTCAACAGCCCTTCTCCCCTGCTGCTGCCTCTTCCCTTTCAACTTTCCTACTGCTGTGCAAGGAACATGCAATCATTGCGAGGAGTGGGCCCACATGGGAGCATGCTCTAGTGACTGCTAGAGTAAGGAGTTGTTTTCTGCCCCAGTCCAAACTCTGTGTGGCTCTTAATAAACAGCTCTCTGATTTTCCAGAAGTTTTGGTTTTGTTCACTTGACTTTCCTTTCTGACTTCTGGCCCTATCCCTGCTTACCCGCACTATGGACTGTATCTGATTATTGCCTCTACTATCTGTAGTAGATTTTAGGTTAGCCTCCCAGCCTGCCCTATCAACAAGGAAAGCAAAATGATTAACAGGAATTTGTCCATTGTCCTTGGTGTATTCCTTTTTGATGACCTCTGGGTCTCAGGTTATCTTGAATATCAGGAAAAACCTTTTAAATATCTTAGGCTTAGATAGTGGAACAGGTTGCCTAGCAAGTTATGGAACAAACATTAGCAGTGTTTGATCCAAAGTAACAGACATGTATGAAAGGAATGGGGTAGAGCTCTTCCTGCTTGAGGTAGGAGATTGAGTGGGATGATTTGAGAGGTCCAGTCAAACTCCATTATCTCTGACTACAGCAGTTTTGCTACAAACAATGAACTCTCAGCTGGACAGAAGAACTTCAGCTTCATGTCAGTATGGATAGTTTCACTACTGTGTTGTTTCCTGTAGGTGACTGATTTTGGTTTAGCTGTACAGAAAGTAGGTGGTAGCGAAAGCATGTTTCAGTCTACGTGTGGGACTCCTACCTACATGGGTAAGTTCAGCACTTTATGAATGTGTGTTTATTCTTATCACATGAAGAAATGCAATTATAACTCTCCGTGTTCTTTCTTGCTCACAAATAGCCATGGAGAGGTGCCTATTTCTAAGCTCCTTTTGTCAGGAGCTTCCCCCTCCCTTATAGGAATCAGCATACCAGATCAGGCCAATGATCTGTCTAGTCCAGAGGTAAGCAAACTACAGCCCGCGGGCCACTTCCGGCCTGCGGGACCGTCCTGCCTGGCCCTTGAGCTTCCAGCTGGGGAGACTAGCCCCTGGCCCCTCCCCTGCTGTCCCCCCACCTCTGCTGCCTCAGCTTGCCGTGCTGCCAGTGGTCTGGGCGGCAGGGCTGCGAGGCAGCGCGGTGGCATGGTTGGCTCTGGCCGGACGGCGCAGCTGCTGGTCCTGGTGCTCTAAGCGGCATGGTGAGGGGACGGAGAGCAGGGGGTTGGATAAGGGGCAGGGAGTCCCGGGGGGCAGTCAGGGGACAGGGAGCAGGGGGTGGTTGGATTGGCGTGGGAGTTCTGGGGGCCCTGTCAGGGGACAGGGGTGTGGATGGGGTCGGGCAGTCGGGGACAAGGGGAAGGGGGGGGGGGTTGGATGGGTCGGGGGCTCTGAGAGGGGAAGTCGGGGGTGAAAAGTGGGAGGGGGCAGATAGGGGGCAGGGGCCAGGCTGTTTGGGGAAGCACAGCCTTCCCTACCTGTCCCTCCATACAGTTTTGGAACCCCGATGTGACCCTCAGGGCAAAAAGTTTGCCCACCCCTGGTCTAGTCTGATATCCTGTCTCTGACAGTAGTCCGTAACATATGATTCAGAGGGAGGTGCAAGTGACTATAATGGATAATAATAATAATAGTGGAGAAGTTTCTTTCTAACCCTTGGCAGTTATAGTGACCAACTTTGTGTCCTGAAGCATGAGGCTTTATATTCCTTATAAACTTCGTATCCTATCTTGTGTAATGTGGATGTTCACAGTATCCATATAAATGTTTAATTCACTTTTTTAAAATCCTATTAAGTTCTTGGCTTCTCCTGTAGCATTGGATTCCACAGACTAGAAATTCATTTTGTTGAATTTTTGCTCCCAGTGTAAGGGTAACATAGCTGTTGGATTCTAACAGATTACATGATTGATGTTTGTTCAGATGTCCTTCCTCTCTCCAGTCAGCTGGAGAGCAGGCTAGAAAGGTCTGAGGTCTTGCAGAGAGAGCTCACACTGTGGATCTAAGGGAAAGAGGCATCGACTCATCTCCCACACCGCAAAAAGCAGAATCCCAACCCTTACTCGGGCCTTCGGCATACTACTACTTATTACGAATTAAAGGTCCTAACTAGAAACAGGAAGCTTGTGCTTCTAAAATTTCACATACATCACCACCACTCCAAATCTCCCTCAGATAAAATGGGAGGACATGGAGACCCTAGTCTTCCTAAACTTTGCAAAGGGAAAAAGAGGATTAAACACTGAGGCTATGTCTACACTTCAACTGCTACAGCAGCACATCAACACTCACTACGGTGTTGAGAAGGGTTCTCCTGTTGCTGTAATTAATATGTCTCCCCAAGAGGCGCTAGCTAGGTCAACGAAAGAATTCTCTGTCAACTTAGCGCTGTCTACACTGGGACTTAGGTCAACATAACTATGTTGATCAATGTATACATTTCTCACACCCCTGAGTGATATAACTGGTTTGACTTACCTTTTTAATGTAGACATGGCCTAATACTGCTTCATATAGGAACTGCCTTATGAGTGGTTCTATCTCTGACAGTGACTGGTATCTGATGCTTTGGAAGAAGTTGAAAGAAATATTGAAGTTGGTAATTATGGAGTAACCTGCCCATAGGTCAAATTTGTTAAAACTCCCTTCCTCCTCCCAAATCAGTTAGTAGATGTCTTATGACCGTCTAAACATTTTTTAATCTTATATATTGTGGATGTCCTCATCATCCAATATCTAATTCTGTTTCAAATCCTACTGAGCTCTTTTCCTCAATGATACATTTAGGCAATGAGTTTCACAGCCTGATTAGCTGACTGTGGATTGTTTAACAAAGTAAAAACAGATCTCCTTCTGGGAAAGATAATGAAGGATAAAAAATTTAGCCCCACAGGCATTTCAATCTATAAAAAAATGGTATCTCAAAATATTTTTTAAAAGGAGGGTTCTGTGTAGGATGAAATTACTTTGTGATCAGTAGCTAACCTTTATAGCTAATCTAGAAATAGCTGTTCTTCCTATTCAGTATGTGTAACAAGTACAAGCTAGGCACTTAAAAATGCTTTGGGCCACATCCTCTGGTGATGTTATTTCATTGCCTTTATTGGAGTTACACCAGCGAAGAATCTGCCTCTCTATATTTTATTCTCTTGGAGACATGAAACTGTATGAATTCTCCAGCTCTTGCACTTTGCAATGTAGCCATCTTTTCCCTGCTTTTAATAGAATAGATTAATGCTAGTATTAAAATATTCTTAAAATATAATAATTAGCTAATATCTTAAGGATGAGGTGATATTTTGATTTATAGCTTTTGATAAATTTGGCAAATACTGACAATGGAAATACTCCTTTAAACATTTTGTGTACAAGTTATGATATTATGACAGTATTTTAAAGTACATTCTGTAGCTTGATATCTAAATCAAGAGGCAAATGCTTTGAAAAAAAGAGACTTTAAATGACAACAGAATGTTAAATAGTATATTAAAATGTTATTGAGGTTGAGATAGTTAATCAGACTTTGTTGAGATGGTGGGAGAACACCTACTAAGGCAGCTGTGTCAATTTGCTCCAGTGCTGCATAGGTTGGGGGTACTGATGCATGAAGCATTTAGCTTTCGCTTTCTCTTCGGGGCCAAAACGTGTCATCTTCATTGATTCTGGGAATGAGGACCTCAAGTCTTGCAATGAACTCATGACCTTCAGTCCCAGGATGTAGTAGATAAACCACCACCAATTTGGCTCCAAAGCAGCATTTTTTTTAAACATACGGCTATATCAACATAAAAATGATTAGGGAATAGATTACAGTATATGCATTTTGTAATCTAGTACACATGGAAATAAAGATATAAAGCCATTTAAGTGTTCAAAAACATTTTTATTTTCAGGATTGTTAATTTGAAAAAATTTTGTACACTGTGCAGAATATATGTTAGACAATATGTGCTACTGAAAGCCCTTATGCCATATGAAGAAAAGGTGAATATTCTTATATATTACACTTATTTTTCAGAAAGGAAACATGTTTAATGTGGTATCATGCAGTACTTTAAATCAGTATTTTATAAAATAATGTTTTAACAATTTACGACTTGAAAAACAATACCACATTTAGTCACAAGTTAATGTCACAATGTCACAATCCTGTTAGCATGGATAAAAGTGAGGACACATCAACATGAATTGTTAAGGCCTGTACATTATTCATTTAAACATCTGCTGTTGGTTCTTTTTTTCGTAGGGGAATAAATTATACCACATCAGCACATTCTTCATGTTTGTGTTTAAGCATTTAAACGGATTTTTTTCTATTATTAATATTATTTTTTCTGCTTGGTTGATAGCCCCAGAAGTTATCAGTGCCCATGACTATAGCCAACAGTGTGACATTTGGAGCATAGGAGTCATTATGTACATGCTGTAAGTAGTTTGTAAAATCAATATAAATCTACTGTCCCTTTATAATAAATCTGCTTATGAATTTTTATTAAAATAAAAAGTAAACTTGTGTGCAAAGAGGTTATAGACTGGAGATCTTTGAGATAATAACTTATATGAAATATATTACAAATGAATGTCTGAAAAAGAGAGCTAAAAGTATGCTCAGATTTTGAAGATTTAGTTTATGAACCAGTTTATAGTCCTGAAATAACATCTGATTACAGAACATTGCATTGTAATTCTAAAAAATTAAACTAAGGATTTAGGTGTTGTCTTTTTAACATGCTGGTCTGAGGGAATTGGCTACTGACTTGCAAATTATAGGGCAAATCTTCAAATGGAGTGCACAACCCAAGCAAAAAAGCTGCATACTCAGGGAAACATGCAGGGAAAGGCGCAGGGCTTGTCTAAACGGCGCTGCAGTGTGGACTAGAAGGATGTGAATTGTAGAATATTCTAATGTGTCATGCTCTGACTGCCTTGTGTAGATTCTGCTGGCATGAACTAAAAGGTATCCAATGCTTGTTAAGTAGTCCTGTCTGAAATGTGACTACCTCAATGTGAACTAGGTACCTTTTAGTTTGCGTCAGCACAGTCTGCACAGGATAGTTAGAGCATGACACATTAGAGCGTTCTACATTTCACACCCCTCTATTTTGCACAGCAGCACCTTTTCTCCAGTTTATAGTAGCTGGCAGGCAGTTATGGTGTGCAAGGGCTGCAGAGTCTCTCTGCACAGTTGTCTGTCCTCATGTAGCAGTAATGAAGAAATTCCACTTCATTCTGGGCCTTACATGTCTGGCTGAAAAGATGCTGGATTTGACTCTTTGTGATTTATCTTGATAGCTATCAAAGCATGCTGTTGTAGGAGGGAAAAATCAAGCCTTACATTCACAGGACTGTATGCATGTCTTTAATAAAGCTTCTCATAATGTAGCAGCATTACCATGCCTAGACAGCAGTACATTAATTGTTACCAAACTATGGGTATGTCTACACTACGAAATTAGTTCGAATTTATAGAAGCCGGTTTTATTGAAACCGGTTGTATACAGCT